ACCTTCGAGCCGTTTGATGCCATATGACGTTTCATACAAGGTGACTCCCTTTCGTGTGATTTCTTTTATTTGATGTAGGAGAAGATAATAAGAGTCGCAGAACTGAATCGCTCTGGCACAATAGATCGTACAATTAATGGCGTATGCCGACGACATCGATATTATCGGTAAAAACAAGGGCTACGTCTGTTTTGCCTTCTCGGAATTAGATGGAGAAGCAAGACGAATGGGTGTGGTTGTGAACGAAGACAAAACGCAGTATTTCCTGTCATCAGACAACAGTCAGAGCACAAGCGTCTCTGCACCCATGTCACCGTTGAGAGCGTTTACAGCTCCAAACAAGAAGAGGAAGAAGAATGTTTTTGTTGCAAAAAAAGAACGTTTTTAATGACCTTCGGCCTCTTGTAACATCTCCAGCGGCGCTCAGATTGATTGAGATTTTTGGTATGTTATTTAAAACCTCAATTCAATGGAATGATCGTCACCATCTGACTTTATAGATAATAACGATTTTTTATGGGAGAATGGTTGAAATATTTCTTCTGTTGTATAATAAAAATTACTAACCATTCTTATATATATGTCTTTTTTTAAATACGTAAATATATGCTTTTTTATGGATACGTTCCGATGGATTTTGCAGTCCTGCTCTCTTCATTTCCACAACTACTATATCTTTATTATTTTACGAGATTTTTTTGTAAAATGCACGAAATAGTTCGTATATTTAACGAAATTATTTTCCTAAGAACTGCGGTTGTTTCGTAGAACTTCCGATTGCTTTCATTCACCACACTGTAAAAAACATAAGACGAATTATTTTTTTCTGCCGTTACCCAAGGCAGGGGCGTTTCCAGAGGTAAGCTATGTTGTTTTAAAATTAAAAACAAGCAGAACATTGAAACATACAATCTGCTATGCACATACCAACATACATACACTCTAGGAATGTTAATCCCGGGATCCCGGGATACCGTACTTTGTAAGGTCTCGAAAATACCGGGATTCTTGGCAAGTAATCCTGGGATTTTCGGCATTTGTAATTTGCACTGATGGCAATAATAGGAACTCCTTTTCTTGACCAGTATTGGCTATATTTCTTTTTTATTTAATAATTGATATTTTTTATAAATGTCTAGCTCATTATACATATATATAACACCGCGCAATAGTAAATTTTAAACACAAATATCAATATTTTGGGAGTTAACCCCCCACCCCTCAAGTCAAAGAATAATATCCCCCAAATATGGGCCTAGAAAAAAGGCGCTTTAGAAGAAAGTATGCGTAATAAAGTTTCAAAACACGAATTTTTAAAACCATATATTAAATTTTTCGCTTTATTTATAAAACATTTTGATAATTTTAAACACATTAAATTTTTCTTTTTACTTATAAATCAATGAAACGAAGAATTTTCAAATTTTTCGTGGTTTTTTGAAAACTTCTTCTAGAACTTCGTCAACTGAAATGTTTATATCTTTGTGAATATTCATCCCCCCCCCCCGCAGAAAATTCTGGATCCCCCGCTGACTACACCACAGCGGCCGACATTGAATATTGAAAATATCATTTTAAAATTTTATCCTTGAGGTTTTGCAATATTCGTTTTTGAAAAAAATATGTATATGTACAGGACTTATATAAACTCGATAACATCCTCGAATTGCGTTCATTCAAATTTATCAGCGTAAAAAATCACCTATTCGTTCTAGTGAATCCAAAAAATTATTATTATTTTCTTTTTTTAATTCTAAAGAAATTTCCTCTTGCATTTGGTACACATATTTTTATTCCACATTTCATTGAATTATTTAAGTGATTTTTGGAATCAATCATATATTTGAAATTGCAAAATCCTTTAAACTAAATCCTGACGTCAGAGAGAAAAAAAACGCCGCCTTAAATAAAAAGCAGGTTTCAAACCCATTTATTTCTTATTTATTTTATGCTCTCCAAGCTCTCCAAACAATATAGAAGCAATTTTTTCGATTTAAGTTGTTGAAAAGTAATGAATATCTAAATCCCAGAACTAATCCCGGGATCCCGGGATTGTGACAACGCCATCCCGAAAATCCCGGGATCGGAAAAAGCCGAAAAATTAAAATCCCTAATACACTCCCAGTAATTTGAATAGCAGACCCTTTTGATGCTCAGTATGTACAATTCTCCTTTTGTTTGTTCAATATTTATTAATTTTTTTAAATTTTATACAAATTTAAAAACATGTCAACAAAGGGGTGTGCTCTTCTTATGACCTGCAGCTCATGAGTTAATAATGTTTTAAGAAAATTTTCGGGCATGCAGTTTTGTAGCTCATGCAATGGTTAAATCGCAAGTTTCAGTGTGCTCGAAAAAATCTGTACATATATGGAAGAAAAATAGTATTAACTTATGCACTGCAGGTCATTAGCATAGCACATCCCTTTGTTCACATGTTTTTGAATTTGTATAAAATTAAAAAAAAAAAAAAAAATAAACATTAAACAAATAATAGGAAGACTGTAAATACTGAGGATCGAAAGGGTGTGCTATTCAAATGACTGGAGGTGTATGTATGTATGTATGTAGATATTTTTATAACCGAGCGCACTTGTACACTGGGTATTATAACTTTGTTCGCATAGCGGTTGTTTGTAACAGCCTAAAGGAATCGAGATAGATATAGACAAATGTATACATAAATGCTGGAAATTAATAATGAAGAAGCCGATTAAGCCATGTCTGTCTATCCTTCCGTCCATATGTCCATGTAGGCGATAACTCGAGCAAAAATTTAGATATCTTAACGAAATACAGGTATACAGGTTACCCTTTATCTAAGGTAGGTTGCTATTGAAAATGGGCGAAATCGGACCGCAACCACGCCCCCTTCTCATATAATGGTATTTTCGAAAAATGCAAAAACTGTGATATTTCAGTAAATATTGGATGCAAATGGTTGAAAATTAGAACGCGAAGTAGAATTTTGGTACAAAATAATATTGTTATGAAATTTTTAGAAAAGGAGCGTGACCCCGCTTACTTATGATGAAATACTATATCTTAGTAAACGCTTCACCAATCCTTACCAAACTCGGTACGAGCCTTGCTTAGGGTCTAGCTAAGAAATTTGTTAGAAAACTTTGAAATCGGGCAATAACCACGCCCACCTACCATATAACGTTAATTTACAGTAACACGAAAACTGCGATAAATCAGTAACTACTGAAGCTAACTGACTCGAAATCGATTACTGCAATGATAACTGAGCAGAAAATTAGATTATTATAGATTTTTGGATTTCGGGCGTGGCGCCGCCCACTTATGACCACAATTGTGTATCTCGGCAACCGATTTATCAATTTCTACCAAACTTTGTGCATTTAATAGCCTTGATACGAAAAAGCAATTCATTGAAAATTATTCAAAGGGGACCAAAATTGCACGAAATACGAAAACTTCGATATTACAATAACTGAAGACGTTAATTTACTCCAAGTTAATACTTACAACAATCGCTTAACAGCAAATAAGACTGTTATAGACTTTTAGGTAGTTTAAAGAAAGTTGTAACGACAATAGTTGACACCTACGCCGGGTATATAAAATTCGGTTTCGCCCGAACTTATACTTGCTTTACTTGTTGATTTCGATTTTTTCGATCAAAAATCGTTGGCTTAGTGGAACATCGCGCCAACTAGGCAGCCGGTTCGAAAACGCCCTATCTCTAAGTTTTGTTAAAAAATCCCCTATCTCAGCAGATGGTTTCAGCAGCAGATTCAATTAGGTTTTTATTCTTTAAAAAAGTATGGTGTATTTCTTTCATTTTAGTTTAAAGTTGATCCCAAAATTTGACATGCAAACGTCACGGCGGATATAGGTAATTTTAATTATTTTAGGAGTCACATTATTTACAGTTGACGAGTCTAAAGCAAAGGCAACCCTCCGAGTTAATTAAATTAATCGATTATTTTTGTCCAATTTATCCAATTTACGATTTGATTGTATCGTGGTTTTGTGTTTCATTCATCGATTAATTGTTAAATAATCGTAAAAATATTTTCAAGAAATATAAATTCTATAGTTTACTAAAATCCATCCACCGAACATTCTCTTTTTGCTAGCTGCAACCACTTTACTCTACCCGAGGTTCAAAAAAATTAAGTCCTTGCGAAAGGAAATTATGTGCGCGGATGATCTTATGGAAGCGGAAAGTCGTCACTAGAATCAGTAGAAAATGAGTTCGATCTTCGGGCCCCTCATAGATCTCTTATACACAAACGTAGGCAAAAAAAATATGATTTGGGTCACCCACAAGAAGAAATGAGTTTTTAATGAAATTTTCAAGTCCAAGAACTAAAGCGGAATATTATGGACGCTTGGGAGGAAATGAAAACTGTTTACCCAAAACTTTACGGACTTTCGAAAAAATGCTGTCATTTAGTTGGTACCTCGGTGCCTGCTGAACGCCTTTTGTTCAAATGCTGGTGCCACCGAGAAACGCAACCGATTAACAATAATACGTTTATCAAAACTTTTGTTTTTGCAAACTTGGTAAAATAATACCTAAATAGTTATTGTCGCTAAAAATACTCGCTTTATTTTATTTAAGGCTAATTAACAAGAGACTTAGAAAATTTGTATGGAAATGTGTTTTTGTAAATACCCACTGTAAAAAAGTGCCTTTAAAAATTCGATTAAGCGATTTTTTTTTTTTGCTTGTGATTAATCAATGATTAATTAATCATTATTTTATTTTATTGTTTAGTTTTACGCCGTTAAGTTGGTTCATCGTAAAGAAAAAAAAAATTTTTGAAATTCCGCATTATTTTCGTTTTATGTACATATTTGACATGAAGCCAAAATTAGTGTCTGGATTGCTAAGGAAATCACAAAAATTTAGTGCGTCTGCAATGCAAAGAAAAATCTGGTATTTAGAACAAATTATTGATGGACATACTTACTTATTTATGTATGCAAGTAAATTTAAATCTAAACTTATTTGATCTCTCACTAACCTCTCTAAGTTGCCGAAAACTTCATAATTCTCATTCTGATTCACTAAATTGAGAATATCCTTAACTGAAAATGGTGTTGTATTTAGAGAATCCGAATTTGTAAAGTTTGTTGGGCTTGACTGATTGTAATCGTAGTATCCTTGTGACACCTGCGATTGTTGCTGGTGCTGTAACATGTTGTTGTTATGTGGCGCACAGCACTTCTCATCGGTTGTCACTTTTAACTGTCCACTTAACAGTTTCGCACACACGTGTATTTGTTTGCATTAAACATTTCTTATTTTCAATTGTTCTCAATTGTATGTATGTACACCTGTCACTCAAGAGTCAATCATCAATCACTCTTCACAAAAATTATCTCGCACATGCATTTGTTATTGTACATTTGCACGTGTATTATATTATTAGTACAGTACTCAACAGTACGGAATTATTGCAAATTGTTTTATTTATTTACCGTAGCAGCAGGCAGTACCTACTAATTAATGTAAACGCGAACTAAATTTGATGCGGACTAGCCGCTCGCTCGACTGGTTCCGATTGACTGCCTTCTTCTTCTAATTAACTGTAAACCAAAACAATCAACGCAGTCGATGAGCCGTTTGCCATTTCGTTGATGCGCAGAAAAACATACACACTCGCCTGTGCATACAAACAAACTTCACTTTGAATTCATGCCTATTCGAATCCATTCCAGTTTTTCCCCTTTCCATTGGCAAGCATCGAGCCAAACCCAATCATGATTTGTGAATGGCGTTGGTGAGTTTTAAAAATGGCCACCCATCAACCAATCACAACGGTGTAAACTATTTCATTCCGTTAGTCAAAAGTGTTTCGTTGCCATTGTTTCGTTTAGCCATTGGGCGCTTATTATTATCTGGGCATTTCTTATTTACACATGTATGTATGTATGTTTTGTTTCATGTAGCTTTCAGACTTTCCTGTTACATTTAATCAAGGTGTATTAAACATACAAACATTTTGCATTTAATGTGGTTTTTTTAATTCTCACAGCTCGAAGTGTTCGTACGGTGACACTTGCAAAATGAGAAATACAGCGTATGAGCGAAAATCGATATTTCCCCTCACTAAATACCCGAAAACAAGTAGTGTGCGTATACATATGTATGCATGTATTTCTTGATATTAACCTTTAAGTACTATAGTTGGTCTCTCAGACCACGAAAATATTTTTAGATTAAATTACAATAAATTTTATACCTACTGCGAATTGTAAAAAAATAGCCGTTCTTAACCGATTTTGCTATTTGTTTTTTTTTTTTTTAATATATATGTTTCCATTTTTGACTAAGCGACCCAAAATCAGGCAGACAAGGCTAATAGCCTTATCGCGGAAAAAATTTTCATCTCAGGCAGGATTATATAAAATTGGGCCGATTTCGCATATTTTCATTTGAAACGAATGTATTTTTTCTAAAGAAGGCCGTAGCGGGGAGATTCTTCATAAAATGTTTCTTATGAATGTCTTAAATTTAAGTGTGAAGTTTTTTTATTGGCAAACTTAGAAAATAACAAATTGTAACAATTGTTGTTGGATATAATGCCAACACACAGAATAAATAAAAGATATTGTCTTCCCAGATAGCGCCTGCCCAGATTGATTCTGCCTTAATTATAAAACTGGCAACACTGGTGAGAAGGCCGGTAGAAATTGCACTTTATTTGTTTGCGCGTGGCCTGTGGCACGAACATCAGCATTGACGCAACTATTTTTCGTTTTTATTGTATAATACCTACTTGTGAGAGTGTGTTGCAGGAATCTCGAGCAGTAGTAACAATTACTGTAACTTAAAACAAAATTGATTGTAAATTGTAAACATATTTTTTTTTTGTTTTTACAGCGATGCAAGAAATCGACATTGAAAAGCCAAGAAAAAATTCTTATTCAAAGCATTCCTAGTTTCTAGCCATTGTGAAAGTTGTTAAATTTTTATTTGCTTTTGTTAATTTGAAATATTTTTATACCATTATCTTTCCTTGGAGAAACAATCCACATAAATATATTTTTATAAATTCACAATAAAATTGTGTGGTCTCACAGACCAACATGGGTTGTAAGCAGTGTTGCCACTTTTGTAAATTATAACCAAAATTGGTAAAAAAAAATTAAGGTGGATAGAAAGGTAGATTTTATTTCGTTCTGGTAGATTTTTGCTAGAGTGTTTTGTTTTAAAAACACACGCTTTATTTTATCTTTATATTATTAATTTCTTTCCAAAAGTTTAGTCTACTTTATTGTATTAATTTTCGAAGGCTTTAAGGCACAATTTATCGCTAAAAGGCGAACATACATATCTATTTAAAATTAATTACACTGGAATCCTGAAGAGCGTTTATTTGCGTAAATATTTTAAATAGTTCTTTCAGAAACCCAAAATAATCATTATCCTATATATGATATTTGTTTTAAGAATTTTTTTTGTCTTTGTATAGTAATTATTTATGAGAGATACCTTTTTTCGTCTCGCGGGACGATTATTTTCAGACTGAAATTATTTACGTCTTTTCATAATAATTATTTGGGATTTTTATTTTTCTTGTCTCTCGGGACGTTTATTTCAAGATGAAATAACAAATTTGTTTAATTCCCTTGTTTGAATAATATTAAGTTATAACAATACAAGTAAAAATACGTATATGTTTTGTGAACTAGTCAAGTAAAACTGTTATGAATTCATGAACTTGTTATTTTTTTAAATGAAATGTGTTATGGTTATAGATAATAAATAACATATTTATAAATAAAATTAAGTTTTTTTTTGTTATTAAATCTTCAATAAAAATATTTCTAGAGAAAAAAGATGCACTTTCAGTATGAGTAACCTTTTTATGGTTTTTTGAAGATTTTATAATCGCTGGGAAGGTTTTTAACCAAAGTTTTCCGGCAACACTGCTTTCAGCAATTCTTCTCTCAAGGGAACCGAGGGAATATTAAAATAAAGTGGAATATTAAAATAACTGACTAATCTGGCCTTTTATTGTATTCCACTATTCGACCTTGATTATTTTAAATTGAAAAATGACATTGCCTTTGGGAATCCACAATCATGTATTCTATTATTCTTGATTCACGGCAGACTTTATTTTCACCTCGAATGCGGAAAATGTAAGCAAAACCGGAAAAACTGCTAATGTGAATTTCGGTGGTATTTTCCACAAGTTGTTGGAAAAATATATTTTAATTTAGAATATATATGAATGAACGCGTAAAAGGTGTTTTTTGTAAACATTTTAATAAGATTCTTACTATATGCCATGATATGTGAAGTTTCATGTGTACGCAGAACATTAGCTCTTTATATCTTAAAGTGGCAACGCTGACATATTGAAAAAGCATCTGACACAGGGTTGCCAACTCTCCCTAGCTATGAAGAACCATATTGAGAAAAAAAGTGCCAAAATGTGCCAAATAGCAAAATAAAAGTGCCAAAAAGGTGTAATTCTTTAGCATTAACATTAAAATCACATTCCTAAAGCAAATTTCCAAGCACAAAGTTAGATTAACTAGTTGCAAATACCATAAAAATTATAAAATTTTAGTGCCAAGATGAAAAGTTAAGTGCAATTTGTAGTAAAATAGGGCAATCACTTGCACGGTTTGAGGGAAGCTGGCAGCCCTGTCAGATTCTGACAGCGCAAAACTTTGTTTTTACTGAATGCGCATAGACAGTGTTCATTTATTATTATAAATAATAAAAGAGTTTAATAATAAAGGATTACAAATGCAAAGCTCTACAATGGGTTCCCACTTGGATCCCCAACTCGAGGATAGAATTTTGCATGAAGTGAAGTCTCAAGGCGTCTTTGATGAATTTCGCAAAGATTCAATGGCAGACGTGGACACCAAGCCTGCTTATCAGAATTTACGGCAGCGCGTGGAGAACACAGTGAAAAAATTCCTTTCTGAACAACATTGGACACCGGATATGAATAAAAACCAACTGCGTGAAAGACTGCGGAGACATATAAGCGAGTATGTTCCAAAGTCCCATATAGAAATGTCAACTGAAATTCTGCGGTTCACGATTACTTACTGTTTTGATTTTTGATTAAATTTGCATAATTGCAGGTCTGGGTTTTTGGATGTTGGAGTCGAACGTATCGTGGATCAAGTTGTGAACCCGAAAATCGGAACAGTTTTTCAACCGCGCATCGAAGAGATTACCTATAAATATTTAGGCTTACCCCCGCCACCGACCAAACACGAACCGCCGCCACCGATCATGCACCCCTTGCCTCCATTGCCGTTGAGCGGGCCACCACCATTGAAAATAGAAACGAGCAGCCTATTACCAACTGGACTAGAGCAAGTTAGTCCTGATTCCGATAAAGCTACCGTTAAGTCAGAATGCCGAGAAGATGATAAATCTATTATGGATATGGATGTTGATGCTGATGAAAAATTAGCAGAGGACGATGATGAATCACCTCCGTTCGAACCATTAGTGAAGTGTGTGGAGAACAGTAAAACTATTAAAGCAGAACTGGTTAAAAATTCCGAGGAAGTAGTTGATATGAAGTCTCCGACTTACGACATTAAGATTGAACCGATGTTGGACGAAAAAACGGGAGAAGAACCATTTGGTAACGTAGAACTTAAAGATCCTGAAAGAAAAGACCCTAGTTCAATAAATATTGATACTCTGAAAAACCCTACTTCATCATTTGAAGCGGATGCTGGAATATCGCAATATTCTCAGTTATCTGCGGTATCGAGTGATAGTCGCATCTCTGATGTAACCGCAAACGCATCCCATAGCTTTACCGACACATCAAATACACATAACCCACCGCAAACACATTCAGATCAAATCGAAGTAGTGATGGAATTAGCTACGGCAAACATATCGGAAGAAGCACAAATGCCGAAATTCAACGAAAACTCCTGTGAGATGGCAACAGCAAAGGAACCAGCATCCGACCTGCATTTCGATATTAAAAAAGATGGGATTAAATTTGAAGGTATTGGAATTTCAACATTTCATTTATATGTATGTTGTACGAATTGTCGATTTCAGGCACTGAACGTAAATCAAGTAGGTTGCAGCAAGAAGGTGATGGTAGCTCAGTAATTGTAGATGAGGCTCTTCCGAGGCAAGTGGCTACGCCAAGTGTTAATTTGGAAAATAAAGAGCCACCACATCATTTCGGCAATTTAACGATTGATACAATTCTCGAACATAAAAACCAAACCACGGATCCGACCACACCGACAGCAACGCCCACTCCAACTCCTCATGACAGTAGTTTCGGTTCTTCACTTGAGGATTTAAATTACCAGCCATATACAGAACAATATGAGGATCGATTAAAAAATGAATCTACCACCGCGGTGGAATCAGCATTGACAAATATCGTGCAAGGGCAAATCGATAAAAAAGAACTCAGTTCTTCACAGAATCGCGGATCATCTTCGTCGTCTTCCCGCCACAAAAAGCACTCAAAAGATAAGCGGCGTTCACATGACCCAAAAGAAAAGTATGGAAGTAAGGAGAAGAGTAAGAAAAGAGATAGAAGTAGAGACAAAGACAGGGGTGAAAAAGATAGGAGCCATAAAAGTAAGCACAGAGACAAAGAAAGAAGCACGGATAAGCACAGGGAACGAAGTGAAAAGCATAGGAGCAAGAGTAGCCATAAGAATAAAGAAAGGTCAAGTAAACACAATAAGCACAACAAGAGCAAAAACGATAGCCTAGAGCGTAGCAGCAGCTCAAAGCGTTCCAGCTCTTCCACAGCTCGTTCTCATGACACAAGCTCCAGTAAACACGAAAAGAACAGTACACCATCTTCCAGCTCCTCTAGNGGTAGCCATAAGAATAAAGAAAGGTCAAGTAAACACAATAAGCACAACAAGAGCAAAAACGATAGCCTTGAGCGGAGCAGCAGCTCAAAGCGTTCCAGCTCTTCCACAGCTCGTTCTCATGACACCAGCTCCAGTAAACACGAAAAGAACAGTACACCATCTTCCAGCTCCTCTAGTCGATCTGATGGTCACGAAGCGCGACGCGAGAAGCGCCAGTCTGATGGAAAGTCTCATCGAAGGACATCCAAAAACAGAAGTAGCTCAAAAAAAGATGATAACAAGTCAGGAACGCCAAAAAATGAAATTCTTGTTGATGATCACAACAGTGAAAAGGTCAAAGATCAGAGACGCAAGTCAACCGATTCGAATGATGAAGGTAAAAGTGGAGGTGGACATAATGATGGAAGCCAGCGTGTATGTGAGATCCTAAATTATTACCAGGGTAGCTGTGATAAGCAGCAGAGTCAACAGAAAGAAACGAATGGCACATCACCAAGCTCACAGAGTCCAAAAGGGAAATCTAAAGGTGGTTTGAAGTCCTGTGAAATATGGTATTTTATAGGTGGCTTAAATATTCACATTTTAATTAATTTTTGAACAGGTTTCGCTGATAAGCGCACAGAGGACTCGAATATTACAATTGAAANTCTGTGAAATATGGTATTTTATAGGTGGCTTAAATATTCACATTTTAATTAATTTTTAAACAGGTTTCGCTGATAAGCGCACAGAGGACTCGAATATTACAATTGAAACGTGTAATGCTGGAAGTGCAAACAAAATTATCGAAAAAACGCACCGGAATATGGTTTTCATTTTAAATGATATGCTGGAGAATCCCAATATAAATTTCATTGATCTGGGACCGTCAGTGACAACGTACTCAGTCAGTTCAAGTACTCCTACGGCGGATATTGCGCTGCCAAAAATCGCTGATACGCCATCTAAGATAGCTGAGACAGCACTGGAAATAGAAAATACCCCACCTAAAATTAATATGAGCCCACAGTTGTCCGAAAAAATCTCGCCTGCCACTAGCAGAAACTCTATGCTCTCGCCTAAAAACGAAAAAGAGCAATTACTATTTTTCGACGAAACAAATGCACAGTTTTGCAATCGTTTGCGTCTACTGGATAACGCAATGGATCGATGCCGCCGTGTGGTTAATAATTTGCGTTTCGATTGTGCCAATGAACTGTGCGATGCATTTGAAGAACAGCAAAGTACAAGCGAACCAGCTGCTAAGGTAACTGCGCAAACATGTGCTACACTTAGAATCGATTGCGTGCCCGCGTACGCAATAAATGATTGCTGTGGGAGTAGTGAAAAAAGTGGTAATAGTCCGGTTGGAAACAGCGTTTACGAAAATGTTTACGAATTGCATGGAAAACGTAAACGGGCTAACAACGGGGAAAGTAAACCTTCGCCAACACCTTCGGATGCAAGTGGGAATTCGAAGGAGAATATGGCGCTGGACAAAAATGATGGTAAGTGCAATGAATTGTTAATGGCGCGACATTGCTTTCCATCGTTTGAATATTTTTGTAAATTTTTTAATTGTTGTAATTTAACGGTTTGGTAGTACATATAATTATTTTGTATATAAAATAATATGTAAAAAATCTTTTTCGCATACACAAGTGGTCACTGACATGATTTTCTATACATACAGAATACAACTACGACTGCCATATTTTAAAAAAAGTTTTATTCTGTATACTTTGGTAATGAGGTCTTATTTTATGAAAATTGTGTGGCAAAATATATAATTATAAACACCAATCCTCACGGGAGCTTTTATCGTTCGCACCACATCCGGGTATATATTACGGAAACGACCTTGATTTATTTCTCTCCAAGCACTGTAACTTCAACAGCATTTCTCAGCATTTTTGGAGAATGCGTAATGCAGCTTATGACACAATTGGGTGCCATAAAATTTTATTTTATTTCGATCATTTCATAGACCGCTTGTGTTTGCTTACCTTGGTAGTAGTACATAAATAACAGCTGTACATAATAAATTTTCGAAATTTATAATTTTTTAAAATGCTTCTCCTCGAAAACTGACAATAATTTTTTAGAACTTGCTTCTCCTAGAAAACTAACACAATATATATTGGCCGAATTGATGCTAATTTATGTGATAACATTAACTGTTATTTTGAATAACCCGTTAAGGTTTTCTTATATGTACATTAGGGTGGTCTTTAAAAATCAAATGAGCGATTTTTACAGTCTCACGCCTTCTATCGGTAATACCACGGTCACAAATATCACACACAAATTTTTGTCCCGATTGGAGACGGTTAGGCGTGGCGTGGGTCATTATGAAAGTAAAGCTCTTTTCCTAAAAAAGGCCATACAAATTCAAATTTCAGACTTTGTGCAAAAAACTATAAAAATTACTGCAATGTTTCACCTTCTTTATAATCTTAAAAAGAAAATTGTTTTGCAGTTTTGTAGTTCATTTAAATTTAGTATAATAAAGTGCAAGTGGAAAGGGCTGCCCATTTGCTTATCTTTTAAAAAGTCGTCGAACATACTCGTATGAAAAAAATTTGTAACACCGTCTGCTAAAGCTGCCAAAAATAAACGCTAAGTCCTGCCGACTTCAAAATTGCACTTTATTATACTAAATTTAACGAACCTTTTTAAACAACGGAAAAAATCTCGAGAAAAATATCCTATAAATTTGTGATGTTACTATAAGGATGCTGTTTCAGGCATAATACATCTAGGATTATTGAAAAAGGTTTTTTTTTGCAAAAAATATGCAAAATTATTTTTTGTCCCGTATTCGGCCCCCATAAATATGATCACCGTAATTATGTACACACATAATCGTTTATAGTTTCGCTTACTTTTTATTTGAAATTTAGTTTAATTCAGCAAATACTTTCTCAATAAATTGTAAACGTCTGTAATGTGATATCCATTTCGTCCATTTTTTTACTACTTCGGTGATTAATTAAATAAATATAACAAAAATACTGTACAAAGCATAACTAACTGTGGTAAAATTAAAAAAAAATATATATGTATAGTATTCAAAATACTGAAAATATTCACTATATACTACTTTCATATACCGCACTAATACTAGATTTACAAATTATAAGAACATTTATTTTGCTCATTTGATAAATCGTAACCTTGAATTCTATTCATAGAAGTAAACGCTAAAGTAAACTACATATATATATATTAAAACACAAAAAACTTTCATATTTCCATTGCACTTGAGCGTAGAAACGTTGTGATTAAAGTTTAAATTGATAAATATTTGATTATGTTTTTGTTTTTTCATTACTTTCGCTCTGCTCTTCATTGATTTTTAGATATGCATACAAATTAAATCAAAGAATAAAGAACCCAGTATGAAGCGCAAAATAAATACTGGTAAATGTTGTAGCGTCTTCGCGTATCGCATGACATAATAACATATTCATAGAAGCGTACTCATACACTAAAATAAAAATTTGAAAGTAAAAAAAAAAAACTTCCTTCAAGCCATGCTGGGTAAGCAATTGTTAATTAATTTATAGTGTTTTTATTCAATATATTTCTTTGCGCTAAAATTTCATGTGTGCCGTGTTTTATTTCCTATCTAATCTATGTGTTGCTACTCAAAAACTATGCATATTAAAGTTGCTACTTAATGATTCTCATTTCGTGCTTTATACCATTTGCAGATATGGTGAAATGTGTTCGCCGTAACGCGTCTTTAAATAAATTGAACCAACAACAGCGTTATAACAGCGAAGATCTGTACAAACCGAGACCCGTTCTAAGTCAACGCTCGCGACGCAGAGGTATGGACGCTTTAATCTAGAATCTAGATGATAATGCGAATTTGTAATAGTTTAAAAATACCAAAATATACCGCAACTATTTATATACTATGTTTGAATAAAAACGAATTATATACACATACATCACTAAATTTTGGTGTGCATCTTACTTACTTACCTTCCCGGTATCAATTGGTAATCAATTCTAAACCGGTCGAGTCAGTTGAAATAATCACTGAAATAATCATTGAACGATGGAAAACTATCTTAATAATAACCCTCCGCCACGAACGTCATATTCCCGAAATTTTAAAAATGGATACAAAGAACTTTAAACATTTCAATAAGTTTTTTCTGCATAAATAAAATAAAGGTCCATGTCGACGGTACAAACAACACTCTTATTAAAGATTTACTACTTTTTAGTTAATTACGATGACGAGTGTATGGTGGTATAGCGTTTATATACTCTAAAGCGACTGAACCGATTGAGTCCAAACCCATATATACTGATGTCTATTGTGAATAGCGCAAAAACAAATGCAAGTTGGTGGCGCTGGAGTTGCGATATATCAAAAATCAGTACCTACAGTCCGATTTCGTTCAAATTCCGAGCATGCATTAAACACATAAATAGAATTACATAAGTTTTAAACGTTTCACGGGTTTGGGAATTGTGTGCTGTTACAACAACATTACATAGTCATCGAAAGTCCGCCCTTATGTTCTTAGCAATTGTTTCGCAACATTGTTGCTGAAGGTTGCTGTGAGTTTCTGCAAGGCCAGATAACAGATTCTGTTCCAAATGTTTCCATTTTTACTCAAGCCTGTTCTGTTACAAAAAAAAAACAACTTTCTAATAAAGAAAATCGATGAAAATGGGCAACGATTTTTTGGCAGAGAACCTGTTATTTTTTTAATTTTTCTTCTGTTAAAGATGGATTTTTATAATTTTTTCATAAAAAAAAAATCGGAATGATTAATTAATTTGTCAGAAACTATAAGTCCTATTTGAAAGTGATGTATACATGGTTTATGTAGAATTTTATTAGCTTTCATTTTGCGTATTTTATGTTAAGATTGATAAATTGGTTCGTAAGATATACGTGATTAAGTGCGACCAATTCTTGTTTTAAGCTGAATAACGGTCAATTGAAAGTATTTCAAAAACTTATCCATAGAACAAAAAATTAACTAGTTTTTCGGAATCAGCGAGCAATTATATATAGGAATTGTATAGTGGCATCCATTGAAAATTTTTGCTGTAAACCAGTGGAATCGGCCAAAAACGGCCGATGCCGATGGCGATTCTTTTGGCCGATGCCAGCGGATGCCGATTAATCGGTCGGACTCTACAGCTTAGTACTTAAAAAATAAGTACCAGTACTGAAGCACTTGGATGTGCTTGAAATTTGGAAGTACAAGTTTAGCATATTTGAAGTATGTACTACGATAAGTAAACGAAGAAAAAACACTTCACTAAGTATGGTGCTTCTGCTTTAAAAATTAAAGCTGCCTGCGAACGGTCCCGCCCGACGCACGGGCTTGTATACATAAGTGCCTTCTCTATGAACACTCTCCGTACATACTCGTGGGACCAAAATATGAATGACAATTAAGACAATCCACAAAAAAACTTTGCTTGCAGCAAAGAATTCCAAAGACGCCTGATCCGCGCATCTGATCACCCTAAATCCGCGAAAGGATCCACAATCAAAAAATAAAAATTAATAAGTTAATTAACACTTTTTTACTAAAATTGCTATTGTCTTCGAAAGTATTAATCCTACAAAATTTTGTATATGGACCTTTTTTGCGGAGAATCGAAGTAAGCTAAGAAAAACTCTTTTTTAGCTCCTAAACTTTGATGGACTTGGGGGAGCCTAAGATATTGACCAAAACTTTTAATCTTGCACAGATTTTTTTAGAGCATAATGAAACATAGTTTTGCTATTACCAATCAAAATTCTTAAAAAGCGGATATTCGGCCCTTGCTAGTCCACAGTAATCAAACTTACGTGGAGATCCTGACGAGACGGAATAACTTGCCGCCGGTCTCCACCCAGCGCTGCCGGTGACTTCGAGTTGTCGTCGACAGTGGCCTCGATGCATTTCTCTATCTAAATTGCAGTAAATCAAAGTGAGAGTGGAGACGGAAAGGCACCACCTGGCATCTGTCTACTTTTCTCTTGACAGGGACGCCCGACCCGAGGAGCTGAACCATTTCATCGCGCAAAACCAGAAGGAACAAATTCTTATAGAATGTGATGCAAACGCGAGTCCCTATCTGGGAGTGTTCGACTACCAACAACAGATGTGAGTCATTCCTATTTCCCAGCCCCGAATGATTTGGGTTGGGAAGAAGTGCTGGACTTAGCTCTAACAACGGATGGTCTTACCGCCGATGACCGGAGAGTATACGATGGACCATCAATGTTGAATCATTGTTGGATACTCTTCAGCACGCGCTGAAAATCCACTACCTCTTCCTTATTCCGAAAATAAACAGCTCACAAATCACTAGAAACCTTCATCAATATACACTTTCCTGGCTGCTATCCCAGACCAAAAATATGGCCCCAAGCAAAAGGGCATCAGCTTTTAAAAGAGTTGCTTGACTTAATCGTAGACAAAAAAAAAACCAAAGCCAGTATCAGCTTGACTCACATCCCGCACAGCTGGATAACAGTCAAAGATTTATTCATTCTTAGGCCGGGCTGTCATACGACCAATACTAACTTACGAGGCGTTAGTTTGATGGCCAGCACTACACAAATAATACAACGTAAGGAAATTAAGCAGTATACCAAGAGCAGCTTATGCAGGTGCCCCAGGAGCATTGTAAGTCGTATCCCAGCCACTGAACTCCACATCAAAGAATCAGTGAAATGTTCAGATTATATACCTGCTACGATAGATTTCAGGAAAAACTTTCAGTTGAAGAGTCCTTCTAGGCGTGATTGGTGTAGGGCCAGGATAGTCGAGGAAAATGACACTGTAATCTATATCGACCGGTCCAAAATGGACTGCGTTGTGCGTGCGGGGG